CACAAACGAGATGTAAGTGTGGGTAGTGGCCCCCACAACTAAAAAGGCTCCTGATTCCCCAAGGATCTTCCCTTCCATGCGTGGATGAAAACGAGGCAGCTATTTGTCACCTCCTTCCCAACCTAGCAGATCTTTTGTTCCTGGTAGCGTCCTTGCTCCTAGTAGTAAGGCCAGGAGCCCCTAGTAGCTTCTTGTTACTAGTAGCGATGCCAGGAGCCGCTAGCAGATCTTTTGTGGCCCACCCGAAGTTGTTCCAACGTTAGACACTTTTTGTGCCGAGGGCAGCTGCTTGTTCTGCCACCAACGTAGTCTCCAATTTTTGCAGGAAAAATAGCAACCACCGCACCCTTTGTGGTTCACCCGATGGTAATTATGTAGAAATGCATCCCTTCCAACCTACCTTTCAGTCGACCATGCAAGGGCAAAATTTCGATCAGGAAGGAGCCATTCCAACTTGGCATGCCGTTCTGTAGGCCACCTAGCAGACCTTTTGTGGGCCACCCGAGGGTCAGACGAAAACCATCCGAGGAGAACGGAAGAAACCGTTCCAACCTAGCACGCCTTTCGTCGACCACCCGATGGTAAAAATTAGAGCATGAACGAACCATTCCAAAATGCAGCTGGTTTTCCGAGAAATGGACAATTCGCACAGATGCAGTTTCCGCAGCCTCGTTTGTGCATAACTGCCGCTGACGCCAGTTAGTCCCCCCCCCCCCCCCCAAAACATGAACATAAACACAAAAAAGGTAAATGTTCACCCCTTTTACCTCCAAACTACTTGTCACCCAGTGCTTACACCCACACTTATGGCAGAAGCCGCATAAACGTGATGGAACATGAAATGAGTTCGCGTTTGGTTCCTGTTACCCTGTGAACCATCAGCGGGAAGCATCCTCTGGCCTCAACCCCTACAATGTTACAAAGGACCTTGAAATGTAGAGTTGATGCAGGAATTCTTGGATGGCTTGATCATCCTGACCCTCTTCAAGGAAGTCCAACTCACCGAATGCTGGGCTGGCGAATCTTGATATACTGGGTTCAGATCACAAAGCATTGACGGAGAGATAGGTAGATTAAGTCAAGTCCCAGGTCATTGTGGATGCACCCTTGGCCAAATACAGGTGGAGCAGGATGAGATAGGACTCAGGTACCAAGGCATAGAATTCAACATGTTCCCCAAAAGTGCTGGTTACAAACTGTAACCATTTGATGATCAGCTGGTTTTTGTTCTTTGTCACGCATCTAGTTTCGCCTGTGTTCCTGACAGTCACTCGGTGTGATTCTTGCATTGGTTTGCATGGGCAAGCCGTTTCTTTCAAAGGGGAGGTAGGCCGTAGAGGTAGTAGCTGGAGGTAGCTAGTAGCTAGGTAGCTAGTAGCTTACTTAAGCTACTAGTATGGACGCAGGATAGCTCGCGCTTCTTCAAGGAAGCTCCCCCCGGCGCCCTAAAGGCGGCGGGGGAAGCTTCCTTCAAGAAGCGCTCGCACTGAAGAAGAGCCCCTAGTAGCTTCTTGTTCCTAGATTTTTACGGAAACTTAAGGTTTTATGGCAACATGTGTATCATGTCATGGGAAAGGGGTCAGGCAAAACATGATGGCGGGATAGGCCGGATAGGTAGCTTAGTTGCTGAAGTACCTACTAGTAGCAAGTAAGCTGCTGGATGCAAAGATGTAGTAAAGCAAAGGGAAATTACATCAATGGCGGAGATCCAGGTTAGGGCAGCTTGCCAAAATCTGAGACTGTGACACGTGCGGTGCCTTTGTTGACCACAGGAGCCCAATCCCTTTGTTGCCTTCAACACCCGCTTGGAGAAGTTCCTGAGGCAGCTGTTCTTGGAGGGATGGCATCTCCTAACGGCAAGTGGAACAATTTGTTTTTTGAGTTTGTTGCTCGTATGTTTCGGGCACCATCCAGCCGTCTTTGCAACGTGGAAATCTGCCTATTCTTCGATCAAGGTGTGGGGTTGTGGACCCTCTTTTCCAGTTCGCCAACAACTCTTCGGAGCCCCGCTTTCGCTCTTTGCCACTCGGATGATGGATTTGAGAAAATAGGGCAGGGTGCCTTGCAAGGTGCTTGTCAGACCAACAAGGCATTGCATCCAGTAAGTTGTTTCCCATTTGTTTGAAGGACAACTGTGCAAAGAGGATCGACAAGGGCGTTTTGGTAAAAGTGCCTTCTGAAAGGGGCAACCACTTCAGCAACTTTACCAAGTGCATGGCACATGCATGTATTTGGAATCTTTGCGACCCAGAAACTGAACATGGCATGACAGGCCAAAGAAATCCTGTGTTTGGAAACACCATGAAGCACCCGGGCTTCACATTGTTACTCCCCTGGTGTTGCCACCTAGGTACCAAGCTTTGGATGCAGCTCGGCAGTTTCCGGAATGGGATCAAGCGCCCTTTCGCAAAAACGGTGTGTAATGGATTGGTAAAAAGGATCAGTTTGTGCAACGTTGGTTGTCATGCCTGGGTGCTTGTTCTTTGGGAGCTGGCCATTTGCATTACTGTAGGCTATTCATGGGTGCTCCTGGGTTTATGACAGGAGTTTTGGCTCAATGTGTACAGTAGCATTGAGCAAGTCCTCAATGCTTCAATGGACTGGAAGAAGCTCAAGAAAGATTTACTTTGACACACCTGGGTATCTCGAGACGAGAAGTCTGTCAGGATGCCTTCCAGAAGGACTCGGCAGCGGGCTGCACCGTCAAGCAACCGTTGCCCAAGATCTTTCATGCACAAAGTAATGAGTCCGGCATCACAAGACAATGTGTTCAAAACAACAAAAATAGTAATGACAAGAAGACACGATCAAAGCCAAGTTTTGATGTGTTATGTTCGAAACGGTAGACTACTCAAAAAACACTGTTGCAAGCACTAGCACATCGTAAAAACGGTGTTCAAATTATAGGCTTGCAGCTTTCCTGTTGTTTTGAACAGCCTTAGATCTCTTGAGACCTTGAGATATCGTGAGTCAGGATGTCTCCGCCCAGGGCATTAAAAAGAAGCTGAAGATGGCAGAAGAGGCTCTTCCCTCGTGTGTTTCGGAATCTATTTTTCACTCCACAAGTTCTGACAAAAGGTTTTGCAAAGGGCTTGGTTTTCCAGCTGGGCTTGACCAGTAGGCGTGTCTTCACCTAGTGGCCCGACACAGGAGCCCGCAGCCCCTTGGTATAGCCAGGTACCGCAACAATTGGGATTATGAATCACAATCACAGCAGCAAAAACACGTGATGACAACTGCGGCAGTGACAAGAACAATGTCAAACCACAGCGACGAATAGCAAGGCGAACTCTCAACGACGGCAGCAATGAGAAGCTTAGCCATAATGCATCAATGCCAAGACTCAATGGCAACATCAATGACCAACCACACTTGCAACAGCAACAAGTTTTGCAGTGACAACAACAACCGACAGCACTGATGATGTCAATGACATGCCGCAATCATGCAGCTGTTCCATATTCCATGTTGACAACTGCAATATGAAGCGGCAACGGCTGGTCACTGATCAGAATGGCAACACTGATAACAACACTGACAAGGACAACAACAGCAACGCCAAAAGCAAGGATGGCCTCGCTGAGAAGCAGCAGCAGAAGCAACAAGGAGCAGTCACAAAGATAGCAAGAGACCTACGCTTCAACAACTTCATTGACAAACTATGGCAACAGCAGTGCCAAGCCAAATAGAGTAACAACTGCAACCACTCGCCCCAATGACAACAGCAATGACAAAGATAACGACAGATAAGAAACAATTACAAATGCGTCACAAGCCGCACAAGCGACAGCAATGACAGGTCACAATAACGAGAGCAACAATGGCAAGACATGCACGACATCGAAGCTGAACTGAAAGAGAGAAAGCTAGGTGTCAATTCACTGCACTCAGTTGATGAGAACAGCTATTCCCCTTGTCAGGAGGTAACAGACCCTGCAGGAACTGGTAGCATATTTATTGCCTTTATATATGTCCTTTTCAATTCAAAGCCCACTGCACATGACTCGCCAGGGTTTAACACCTTGGATTCGGATGGAAACGGTTCGACTTGGCTTTGCGCGGCAGGATTAGCCGAACGCAGTGGTGCATAGTGAACAGGATGAAATTGAAACTAACTGCTTAAGTCAAGACCTTTGTTTGTCTCAAGGATTTGCTCTGTGGAACAGCGCGAAACTGTAAGTTATGCAAGCAAAATTTCGATTCTTTTTAGTGGCCTTGCCTTTTACCGCGTCTTCGCAGATGCAAATCTTGGGTACTTCCTGTGCATAAGAAGTTTGCGAGCCAAAGAGATCCTGCAGATAGCGGAAATATCAAGCTTTTTGTCGACCAATCAGATGTACATGTAGTTGACAGGGCTCCACCCAGCGTAGAAAGACGTGCTTGTATGCAAGCGTTTGGGTAGGTGATTGAGTATGCAACAATTGGCTAGACCTTGATCAACCTGCTGGGTCTAGCTTCTGGAGATTGCGCAGAATCTTGATCTTTGCTTCAGCCAACCGGCTCCGCTCAGCCACTGATGGCGGCATGACCTGCAACAGCTAGTTAGCAGATAGTTCTAAGTTCTGAAGTTTTCTTCTACCTGCAACCTCAAATGAGGGGAGAGCTTGCTCGCACAACCCATCGTGCTGTTTGCCAAAATTTGCGCAGACGACCAAAAAGATGCATGGCGAGAGTAGTGTGGCTTGTTGTTGAAACCTTCCCTGCATTATGCTAGTAGCTACTAGTAACAAGAGCATCGCTAGTAGCTAAACGCTAACAAGGGCGCTGTTTTGCTAATCTTTGCTTCGACTTTTAGACTCCGTCAGTGGCAAGTTTAACCTTAAACTCTTGGCGGGAGGAGAACATAACATGGAAATTGCATAAGTCTCACAATGAGACTGTTCGATAGAGAGTGCACACATGATTTGTAGACGTCTCAGGTCGCACAGTCTTTCAGGAAGGGCCGCCTTCCAAGGATTTATGTACAGTGTTTGGGCTCGCCTCAGCAGGAGAACTGGCAAGGGCAAAGCTGCAATTGGCGGCAAGCATCATGTCCGAAGATACAGCCCAACACTACGTAGCGCGAGAGTTCTGAATCTTTTGTCGGCGCATGATGCCATGATCATCACCCCACCATGGCTGGATGCAAAGCGCCGAGTGACCCCTCGAGAGAGGGCTCCAGCAAAGCTGCAGGACTGACCTTGACGTGCTATTTTGACAGAACGTCGTCCTGTGAATGGCAGGACTGGTTTTCGTAGTCCTGTAACCTCCAGGAAAGTGAAGGTCCTTGAGGGTCTTTCTTGACCTGTCTTGACCTTTCTTGTTTTCCTTGCATCTCTTGATGTGCAGTACAATGTGTATACATATATATATATATATGTCATATATATATATGTATACATATGGGGGGCTACCATATACATATACGTATACATACACATAATCAGTCATAGTCATAGTCAGGACGTATACCCAAATGGGTTAATGGCATAGGTATCAAAAAATAATAAAAAGAGCATCAAAAAAAATAAAAACAGGATCAAAAAAAAAACAACGAATCAAAAAAAAAATCCTTGATAGGCCTTTTCTGCTGCTCTCCTGGCCTTCTGCGTGTCCTCTGGTAATGTGGTCCCTTGGTCCACTGGTCCTTTGGTCCCCTGGTCCCTTGGTCCTTGAGTCCACTGGTCCCGTAGTCCTCCGGTCTCCTGGTCCTTTGGTCCTGTGGTCCGCTGGTCCCCTGGTATCCTAGTCCTTCTGTCTCCGAGCGCTCTGACAACGCCATGTAGGGCCTAACTTCGTGTGAACGCCGTGACTACTGCTACTGCTACCACTACTACTACCACTCCTCCTCCTCCTCCTGCTGCTGCTGCTGCTGGTGCTGCTGCTGCTGCTGACTGCTACTGCTACTGCTACTACTACTACCCCAACCATCCTCAGTGGGCTAGAATATTTTTTTGTGATTACCTTTTTAGTTTTTTATTGATCCCCGTTGAATATTTTTTTTTGATTCTATTTTTATTTTGATCCCTTACCCTTTGTTCTCCACAGTGAAACCAGCGTGGGAAATCAAAAGAAAGCAGCAAACCAACGTTACACCAAAAGAAGTGAACCAAGTGGGGCTCCCAAAGAGCAATCCCCGCAAATCTTCCCAGCAAATAAGACCGGCTGAAAGCTTAGCGATTCTGCTCCGTAGTTCTGCAGCTTTGACAAGTCAGTCGGTGCGTGCATGCCCGTGGAAACATCGCTATAAATATATATATACTTTTTTATATATATTTATGTATTTATCTATTATATATATATATTGGCGCAAAGTTGGCTTTCCAAGTTTGCTTGCTACCATTTTAGAGAGCAAGGGTCCTTTCTCGCCTCCCTTCAAACTCTTGAAGCCAACCCTGTCTGGGCCTACAGCTTTGAAGAAGCATTCTCTGATCTCTGATGTGCCTCCATAAATCAAGACACTATTCCAACCTGTGCTCGAAGCTTCACACCTGGCCGTCCTGTCGACGTGCATAAATGGTGGCCGCACGCGAAGAATGGTTAGTTCAAAAACATCAAAACCTGGTCACTCGACATGATTACCCGAAATGCCGAAGGTTGGTCAAAATCTCCCGGCACCCCAAACAAGACCTAAGTGAAGCACCGAAGCACGTTGGCTGGAGTAACATACCTCACTGCAGACGCAGAAAACTAGAACGTCGAGTCTTCAGATTGGCCAAGACTTTGAAAGTGTTGGGCATGCCAAAGCATTGCCGAAGCAGTCGTCGTGACATCATGACCATCATGAGAATCCGTCACGCCACGACGCCACGATCCCCCGACGCTAGGACGCCATGCCTTTCACTTGCCAGTGCCGTTTTGCATTCCCCACTGAGCATGGCACTGTCCACTTCACAATTTGCAGGAGGGTGTGCAGTTGCCAGTGGGCGTGGAGCAGGACTCTACTTTAGAACCTGTCTTTTGGGCAAGATGGAATGGAGTTCTTGTTCAACCAGCGCATACATGCTCCGAGTCTTCTGAAGACAAGGATTGAGCCGCAAGAGAAACAAGATTCTTTAACTTTCAAGAAAGAGTGTTTGAGCATGTTGGAAAAGTACTGCAGGAACTTCGCGAAAGCATCGAGCGGAAGGCATAATGGCATGGTGGGTGCTTTGGTACAAGCCTCAAGCAGTCCTTCATCATTTAGATTCCACTGCTCGAGTATCCTCAATCATCGATAAATCCTCCAATTCCTGAACAATGTTGAACTTTGTGTGATCCTTTTGCGTTCGTGCCAGAAAATGACCGCTCGCTGGGCCGCAAAAGATCTCAGGCCCAGATCCGAAGGAATCGTCCAGAGTTTACAACTTTTCTGGGGCGGGTGAGCAGAATATTATGAACTTTGGAATAGGATGAGCAGTGAAAGCACGGTGGTCGTGTTTGGCAGCGTTGAAAACTAAGTGAGAGACATACTCTTCTAGGAAATTCTAAGACACTTTGAAAGTTTCAAGAAGGGTGTGCTTTTGTTTGCATGTTGTTTGCATGTTGTTTGACCATGGTGCCAGCTGGAGGCTTTGTCACGCTGACACAAAAGGTGCAAAAACCGCAGCAAGAGTTAACGCCGAAGCAGTGGCCCTCCGCCCTTCCTCAGCAGCATGGGTGCTTAGAGACATTGCTGTGGGGTGAGGCGTTCGCTCGTGACGCCGATTTTCGCGTCGCTTGTGACACCGATTTTCTCGTAGCACATCCCACCCCACCATGATGATGATGCTGGTGATGCTTTGTGAGTGGGCGATGTCAGATGTGATGATGTCGCCATGGGCCAGTCACTCCGTCAGATCCCACCCCACCCCACCCCACCCATGATGGTGGTGATGCTGTTGTCATCGCAAGTGATCTACAAAAAAGTTGTGCTGAGTGTCGTCGCAAGTGAGCTGAAAAGTGTCGTCGCAAGTGAACGGTTGACCGCTGTGGACATAGTGTGGAATGTGTTTGATGGACTCAAAACCATTCAAAAGCTTGCGCCCTTGATTTGTGAATCATTAGGAATGTAAGAAACAACAAGTTTCACTTCAAAGTGACTTGGTTTGGGGGGGCACAAGAGACCGCTTTTTTCGATTTGCTAGCACAGGCCTTGTGTGAGGCTTTTGATCTTTTTGGGGTACATCACTGGCACAATCAAGTGACTAAAAGATTGGATTTGTTCCTCTCTACTCTGATAGTTTTGGTTGTCTGGGGCACCTCAGCTGATGCAAAGCCTGTGGACAAGCCAATAGTTTTCGAAGTCAAAACCACCAAGATTCTTGCCTCCTTGAATCAACCCTTCAAGGTAGATGATCTTGGCAACAACTTAGAGAACAGGGAGCATGAGTAAATCAAGCATTCTGTGTGGGACTTTTGTGTGTGTGTGCGCATTGTTTTCTATGAGTCTGAAGACGCTGCAGAGAGGCAATTTAATTGACGGTGAATGTGTTGATTCGTTCATTGTTGTTGTTGTCATGCTGTGCCCCTGAGATGTCCTAGGTCCTTACTCAACCAGAAAGCTTGGCAACGCCTCAAAGGAGCTGAGCTTCATCAGGTTGCCAAGCTGAAGGTATCCAGAGACTGCCAGAGAGGCCTGCTGTTCAGACTCCACAATTTGACACTTCTCTCCTTGGCTGGCACTCAAACGCATCGGCATGCCAGATGGTACTGCCCTTGTACATGGTAGCAGCATTGGAATGGTGTTGACTTCAGCAGCCAGAAAGGGTGTCCAGTTGACCTTGGCTCTTGGACTCCCTTTGATTCACTAAGTAACAGGACTGGATTACGGGGGATAGTTGTGGTCATTTTTCATGATCAGCAAGCTCGAAGTTTGTCTTCATTGTCTCAAACTCCCACCTCCAAAGGCTCATCAAAGCAGGTTGGTATGGAACAACTGGCCTTGCCGATGGCCCACAATCCAATCATTCAATGAATTTGTTTAAGGGAAAATCTGCAGGAAACCCATAGTTTTGGGGGTGAAAACTATGGTTTCGTTCGTAGATTTCCCTTAAACCCATTCATTGAATCATAGGGGGCAATGACTTGCTCGTCTTAGCAGATTTGCCAGCAAGTGTGTGGGGTCATCCGTCCAAATCATTTAATCGGACCCGAATCCAGCTTCTTTTCAGGTCATTAGGCAATGATGTTAGCAATTGTGGGACAGATAGCTTACAGCTGAGAGTACTTACTTACACATGGAAGCGTAGAAGTCCTTTGAGGCTACGGTGGTGATACCAAAGCTTACCTTTCTGTTTTCCACAGTGGCGTCGTCAGGAGTGCAATGCCACCACGGGGTTCCCTGCCTCTAGCTCAACTGTCTCATCGCTTGGAGCTTTGCCTGGGACATAAGGTGCACGAGTTGGCTCCCAGCTGTTGTATGGCTTTCGCACATCGCTTTCAGCCGGTAGGTCTGTGCTACATTGTAACGATGTTGGGATTGCTTGAGCAGCGGTATAGTATGTCTGGCTTCAGAGTTTCATGAGTTGACCATTTGTTCGGGCCTTTGCAGGTCATCAGCGAAAGTGCTGCTGAGCCGATTGCCTTGCCAATTTCTGCCCGCAGCAGGAAAATAAGCAAGCCAACATGAATTTAACAAGCAATTCAAGACAAGACGCTTGCGTTGCTCAATCCCAAAAACTGACCTTTTGTTGTCCGTTCGTAAGGTTGGGTCTTTGTATCCTCTAGGTTCTCATGTTATGCGACAACCTTGAGACCATTGCCTAGCATCATACTCGCATGACCGGCAAATCAACAGTTCGACAAATCACCAGACAGATCAGGCTGCACACTTCACTACACCGCGCATTGCACATCCTCAGACATCACGTCATCACGTCACGTCCTTCGTCACCACATGAAGTACTGCGCACTTCCCATCGCTCACCCCACATCACACATCACACGCCTATCAGCACCACAACACCCCTCTAAACCTTTTGGTATCCCACCAAATCTTGAAGAGGCTACAAAGGGGTGGTGACTTGTACCATCCGCAACCGAGGAACCTCAAATCAAAATA